TTCTTTTTGCTACATTAATTCCATCTATGCACAGTGAACTTTACCAGAATGCTAAATGGAAGTAGATTATTGACATTCATTTATATGCAGCTATTTTCTAAAGCGAGTCTGATTGTTTTCATCATGTGCCAGGATATGTAAAGAAACCTATTTGTCTGTCAAAACATTTACTGTAAGTAAATAAGATAATCATCACAGCTCGCTGAATTAATGTGGAGAATCCTGTAACTGGTCTGGGAGTTAGCATTACTCATACGAGTTGTCCTGTTGGATCCATGGGACTAGTATCATGAGTGTTTGCATGCGCAGGCTCTGGGCTTTATCCTGAGTTATGAAGCCCATCAAGATAGATGCCGCTTCGCCCCAGGTTCAAGCAGGTTCTGTTTAAAAAAAAAAAAATGCACTATTGCAGACTGACAGTTCTGCTTCTCATTTAATCAGAGTTGCTAGAGTTTGCCACCAGGGCTTTGGAACTGTGCTCCAGCTCCAGGCAAAAACCTGCAGCTCCACTGCTCCGGAGCTGCTCCGCGCTCCAGCTCCAGGCTCCACTCCAAAGCCCTGTTTGCCACCCCCAAATCTTACCAATGTAGAGCAAAATTCTTTTTAAGACATTGTGCTCATCTCCACATCAGCTTCAAACACAGCTGTAATTGTAAATGAAGCTGGAACCAGCTACTATTGTTGTTTGCATTCTGGCGTCACCTCCCAGTATGTTAGGCACTGTCCTCACGCTCACTGACACACAGGGCGCACAATGTATGCTCAGTTTTGGAACATTCCAAGCTTAGTTTTTTAGGAATCAGTCACTTCAGCACCTGGCAGGCATCCCTCTTGTTTCTAATGAAGGTGAGTCACGCAGGGAGGCAGTGGCAGAGCTAGAACTGGAATCCCTGCTCCCAATCCTGTGCCAGGAGCCCAAGGCCAGACCCTTTTTCTCTTGAATTATGATGAATGTTTAAACCAACTTGTATCCAAAGTATTTATAACAATCACTCCTTCCACTATTGCGAGGCCGGGTGGTCTAAGGAATAAGCCACTAAATTAGGAGTTAATGTCCTAGATCTGGGGTCGGCAACCTTTCAGAAGTGGTGTGCCGAGTCTTCATTTATTCACTCTAATTTAAGGTTTCGCGTGCCAGTCATACATTTTAATGTTTTTAGAAGGTCTCTTTCTATAAGTCTATAATATATAACTAAACTATTGTTGTATGTAAAGTAAATAAGGTTTTTAAAATGTTTAAGCAGCTTCATTTAAAATTAAATTAAAATGCAAAGCCCCCCGGACCGGTGGCCAGGACCCGAGCAGTGTAAGTGCCACTGAAAGCAGCATGCGTGCCATAGGTTGCCTACCCCTGTCCTATATTTTAGAAGTCAGAGATTCGATTCCTGGCTCTGCCTCTGCTTTTGACCGTGAGCACATCTGGTTACCTCTCTGCCTCTCATCCCCTTTTGTTGGTCTGTTGTATTTAGCTTGTAAGCTCTGTAAAGCAGCGCCTGTCTCTCACTATGTATTTGCACACTGCTTACAGTTTGACTGGGACCTTTGGGTACTACTGGAATGCAAACATACAATACAACCCCATAAGCGATGTCACTGCTAATTTCGTCTGCCTTTCCAAGAAAAACAGCTCCGAACTGGAAAGAGTAGAGAAAAAGTCAGGAAAGCACTTGATAATGGTAGACTTCCCAGTTCGTATTCTTTGGCTCTAAGGGACAAGGGTTGTACAATATATGGCTTTGATTGAGATGGATTGGAAAGAGGCAAAGATGCAACGGCCTGAGAAGACGTCAAAATGAAGCTCGATACCTCATGCGTGTAAGTTCTCGGGGGGGGGGTTAGTATTGTGTTTTTGTTATGTTTGTGCAGCACCGGATCCATGACTGAGGCTCCTAGCACCTCCAATAAAATTAATATTTCCTTCCTTCTGGTCTGGTCTCAAACAGCACTTCTAAGAAGAATTCTCTTATCTCAGGTCATCACTAATGCAGGGATGATGAGATTCAGACCACTGCACCACCGCTATGAAGAGGCACACCAAGGGATTTTTCTGATCATGTAGTAATTAAGATTTTATAATTCTCTCTCTCTCTTTTCTGTCCCGCCTCAGTTTTTCAACATCCTTCATCCAGTGGAGAGAGAGAGACACACACACACACACTCTATCAAATGGAAGGCAAGACATTGAAACACAAAGGCAATAGAGTTGATATTGTTCATGCCCAGCCATGAAAAAGGACTCCTAGCAAAGGAAATACATCACAATGGTAGGGAGACTTCATCAAGGCCAGGATGTTTGGGCATATTGTGCAATTTTAAAATGGCCAAATATTGAGACAGCCAAGGGCTCTATTTCCTCTGAAGTTAGCAATAAAACTGAGTGATGCTAAAGAGTCAGTGGAGAAATGCACCCCCAATCACCTCACCCAAGTATTGAGAAAGGATGCAAATTATAGAAAACCATGGATGAAACGCGCCTTAACATCTTGCAAATCATTTTTTTTTAAACAGAGCTGATCAGACAACTTATAAGCAGAAGGAAACATTGTAACCCATTTTCGTGATAGATGTCATGCACCTGACAGCACCGGAAGATGTTGATGATGGAGCAGTTTGTCAGACAGCTACAATGTAGACAATGGACCCAATACTACATTACAAAGGTGCCCTTGTGGAGCAGAGACTAGAAACTTGGTGGGTCAGCTACAAACATACTAGCCTTTGCTACTTGAGCTAAAGGAGATATTATGCTTTAAAGTCTGTGACTAAACACAGGAAGAAACAGGTTTTCTCCCAGGCAGGAGAGAAGGTAGCACTGGGGAATCAAAACAATGAATGGAAGCCCTATTTACATACAAATCAGCAGGGGGATGGGAAACCCACAGAAAGGGAAGAACAGCATGAGGTCATCCTGGGTCTGGGGACTAAACAATGAGTTTGGTAAGATCGAAGGAAAAAGAAGCCATCTTGCCATCTTGTGGATAGACACAGCGGGCCAGAAATCTTGCAAGTTGAGAAAGATGAGTCCTTCAACCAGGGGGGTTGAAGTTTCAGGTTTCTCACCTATATTCAGTTCCCAGTTTAGGCAAAGATCTTCCCTAGGAAGACAAGGGAAACCAGTACTTTGTAATTCTATGGAAGGTCCTGACAGAGAACATCAGCCATGGCTGGGAAGAAAAAAAGATTGGTAAGAAATCTACCTTGAACCAAGGCAGTAGCTTATTAAGTCAGTCATTAGAAAGCGTATTTTTATTTTATTTGCTTGCTGCACATTACACAGACACTTGGGGAACAGCATTCTTGTCTTCTGGCTGTTGGTATCATGCTATGAGCCATAGCAGCAGAGCATTTAAGGCATTCAAGACTAGAGCAGGTGGTGAGAACCTCTCCTTGGTCTGGATTGCAGCCCAAAACATGACTATAGGTCTGAGCTCTTTGGCATGAAATAAAAAATAAAAATCTGTAACAAAACCAAGCACATGGAAAAGGAGAAGAAAATAGAATAGCCGAAGACAGAATGCAGCTTGTTTCTGGGTTGCAGTTCAGTTGTTGGAAGACCTTAGGCAGAGTGCACGGCCCAGTTACCAATTCCGGGACTCTGGCTTTACTACGTTGACTCTGGAAAACATTTGGCTAAGTTGTTCTTATTTTCCTTTGGCTAGTCTGCTGGAGGCAAATTTTTCATCACCGACTAGGGTGCCAAAATTTGCCTTTTGCTTGCCAAACTGGTCCTAGCAAAGAATTGCAAGGTTAAGTCTGTCTTGGCCAGATCAGCTGGACACACAAATAAGAGAGAAAGCAAGAGAGAAAACGCGAAAAAAGAGGTAGGAGGGATAAGCTGGAAGAGGTAAAAGTAGGAAACTTGGGTTCGCGTCTCTGGAACTTATCAATACACAACTATGGAGATGCCTCTATCTGGGATGACTATCTTTCAGGATAAGAAAGTGGTAATGAATGGCATAGTGGTGAATACCTAAATTCCGGCATGGGTGCTGGAGATGGCAACGACAATACTGGTTAATGCTTCCTGCCACATGTAAGTGGCCAAGACCTCCTTAGAAAAGCAATATTCAAGAGGGGTTGGCAATTGTCCCATGAAAACTGACCACTCAAGAACATATAGTCTATATTGGTGAATCTCTTCCTGTGACCTTGCTTGCAGCCCAATCAGCACACAGCTGCAGCCCATGTGACAGCCTTGGGGCCATTCAGGTAGTATATATATTGTGTGGACGTGGCCCACATAACACACAGAGAGCTCACAATGATAAATAGGTTGAGAACCATTGGTCTATATAGACACTTCGTCATAGCAGCATTTTGGTCTGTTCCGCTAATAATTTTGTAAGGGTGGACAAATTAAGAATTAAGCCAAGGGCAGGGATTTCAGAACTGTTCTTAAGGTGTAAAAGGTATTTTGTGGGTTATGCAGCCTGCACCATAACATATTCTAAAGTGTATTTGTTATGTGGACCTTATTAGCAACATGGAAACTGCTGTTAAAAAGAGAATGTCCCCTCCAAAATTTGGCAAAGCCACCAGTGGTTGCCAAGACCAAAAAATATGGAGTTTCTAAGCCAAGGTAGGAAAAGTGTCACAGAAATTGACCCCACTTCAATTTTTACTCTTTTGTCTCTTCCAAGTTTTGTCAGATTTGATTAAACCTTTCCAAAAAAATAATACCCTGAGTAAGGCAACGGTATGTATGAAACTCACGTGGCTTCATTCTATCAAAAGATAGGGTGGGGCCTAAAATTAACTTTTAATGGGAATCTAGTTTCAACCTTAGCCAGACACTAGCTTCTTTACATAAAAAGCAAGTCAGTCACTTAGTGATTTAAAAAACAAAAACAAAATATTAAACCCAACTTTGGAGCCTAATCTCTGCAATGTTCTTTTAAGGCCCAAACAGTGCAAAAATCTGAACCCAAATATGGAGCAATCGTTTTCAAAACCGGAAAATCTAAAATAAAGTATTTTGCAAAAGAATAACATAACAAAAATATCAAAGAGCAGTTTTATTTAGCATATTTGGCACAAAGCTTACAAGAACGGTTTTGTTCCCTTCTCAAATTTAATACAACTAGCAAGAAAAAAAGGCATATAATACATTTAGTAAGTTGTACAGCATGTGAAATATGGGGGAAAAGAGGCACCAGAAAGATCTATCAAACAAAATCAAAGTGCATGAAAAATATTTACTCCAAGTGCCTCCTGGTATTGGATTAAGGCACCACTACTCTAGAATGTTTACTGGATACTCTAGATGAGCAAATCCTGGTTTCTGGAATGTACAAGTCCTTACTGTACTTGTTATAGGACCTGAATACTACAGTTCTTTAAAATGGAATGATTTTGTATTTCTGTAAGTATTAAAAGGAGAGACTCTTTCTGCTCAACATCACTTCAGAGGATGACCTAGATTTGTCATTATCATGTGCCTTGAAAAGGTAGAGGAGCTAAAAGTATAAACTGATGTTTAACCTTTTAAATAATTCAGATCTTAGCCTACACCAGCTCTTAATGATTTCACATATAATGCCACAGCAAAACACAGGATCTGGTATTTGAAAAATGAATGGATACATTATAGAAGATCTACTGTATAGCAAATTTTAAAGACTTTTGCATACATTAAATCAGAATCTGATAATTAGTGTTATTTGTAGTATATAATAATTAAACATACGTGACTCAAGTGAATATTACAGCAAATCTTCTTTTGGATTACTCATTAGGTCTGGCAAATTCCACAAAATTCCAGGGACATTTAAAACATGTAGAAAAGCCCCATGAAACAGTAGTAATGGAGTTTTCTTTGCTTTGGTTTTTTTTGGTATAATTAGAAACAGCATCTCATATTTCAGATTCTGCAAAGCTAGCAAGAAATAAAAATGCTTGGCTCTTGAATGTACCGTATCATAAAGACAAATAGCTCAGTCTAACAGATTAAAATTTATTCATCTGCAATTTAAAATGTTACAGCCAAAACAGTAAAGAACCACATTAATGTAGGTATCTGTAAAATCAGTTCACAGGTATGTATCTGCAATATTGAAACATGGCGTTTCAAGAGCCAAGCCAAGCCAGCAGACCACCACAAATCTTAAATATTCAAAAGAAAACCAGCTATTTTGATGTTCCACAGATTTATTTTAAAGGTGACTATTTCTACAGAGCTAAACAATAACTGCAGTTTTGAAAACAGGCCCACATTTACACCTGGGGTAAGCAGTTTCCATAAAGTGAGTTGAAGTTGCACTGGATTACACCAGGTCTGAGTTTGGCCCTGTTGCTCAGTTGGGTCATTACTCTCCTTTACTAGTAGTAGAAAATTAGATGACAGATCAATGTCAGTATTAACATTCTAATGGGAAACAGTAACTCAGGAGTATGGTATAGACCTGTAGTTCAATTCCTCTACTGTAGAGGGTATGAAAAAAATCTCAGAAATTTGAGACTGTTTAACCTGAATTTTGGAAAAAAACAAATTTCTCCATGGAGATGCACAGGCATGTAACTATGAACCCCTAAGCAGTACAGTGAATTTCAGTTTTTGTTTTCTTATGGTGTAAACCTCAAGAACACAACTGTGTGTGCGCCATTAAAAAGCAAACAAACAAAAAAACCCCGACCCTAGAGTATTACAAATCCTAACCAGCAAGGGCTGAAAGCGGGCATCGGGAGATGATCTAATGCGGACTGTGATGGTTCAGAAGATACACACAGAGAACAGTTCAGTTGTGTATGACACTATACTTTTTTGGGTTAGTCTGGACTTTCCCTAAAGTCTTTGCCTCAATGTACAGCTGCAGCTTTCATTAACCCCTTTGCCCTCAATTATTTGCTACATGTAAAATATGCCACAAAAGTGACTGTTAGGGACTAACAATTTAAGGACATTTCTTTTTTGTCCTCTATTAACACAACTACAATCAGCATAAAGAAAACTGTATTTACTCAACTCATTTATTTCATGATTTATATGTAGATCATGTAGCAACTTAGTATCCGTGATTGTGCACTTGTGCTTCTGTTCTCTGGCACTTTGTTGAGGAGAAATTAGTTTCTGGATAATCACATCTTGCTGAAGCACTCTTTTGCGTTTGTCCAAACTTGAATTCCCTTAAAAAAAAAAAAAAAAAGTGATTTTTGCTTATTCAAACAAAGGAACCTTGCAACAAATAAATGAATGTGACATGTTTGCATACATTACCTGTAGACTTAAGTCATGCAAAACTCCCACTGACTAATAGGAACTTTACATATACAAGGATGGGGAAAAGACTGAGGATTTGATCCACACTGTTTAATGCATACTGTTACCAACACAGGAGAATCTCTCTTAACTTCAGTGCATGCCAGGAAGAGAGAGAGGAGGCAGCAAGGATATGGCATCTTGCATGCAAGATGGACTACACTGCAGCTCCTACTCGATTGATTTCCAGCCTTCTACAACAGCAGTTCTCCCATTTGTTACAGATCTGCCCCTGGGTCCCCTACTACTATTTACATATTTGTCTTATCTGTCAGAAGCAAAACCTACCTTTTTGCACATACTAATCTGCATCACAGCATAATTTATGAGGGCCTCTTTCAAGTCTTGATTCTTTTGCTCTTTGAAGCGTTCAATATCTGTCCAGGCACTTTTCACAAACTCTCTGAAATGAAAACAATATACTTTTGTTAATGTGAGTGTTTTAAAAAATACTTAATACATTATGAGCCCCAGCCAGCTGCTACTGAAATTACTGGGAGAAGGACTTTGTCAATACCTGAAGTGCTACACTTTTATAGTCTATGAGTTTGATCAGAGTCATTTCTCTGCACCTTGGATGGGATCCTCATTTTATACTTTTACTTGCTCTAATATTGGAACGTGTGCCACAATAATTCACCTAGTTCTTCAGAAATTTTTAATAGCGAATCACATAATTTTTTATAACTGGAGACCTTCACAGATAGATCTGACTGAAGTTAATCTATGTGGCCACAGAACTAAATGAATAATTCATAATGAATTTATATTCAGATCCTTGCCAGGCTCACTAAATACAGTGCTCTGGTTGAGGGGCTTTGGGCCTCAGCATCCTCTTAGATCATCTCATTTCCTGTGAGAATCCTGTAGACCATCTTAAAATTGACTTGTCGCGAGCATTTAAATCAGTAATGTACGATTGTTTGAATGTTTGCAGAAAGTGGGCACAAGCTTAGCTGAAGCAACTTTATTTCAGAATAGAATACTCCCTTTTCTTGTTTGTCTGCAATATTCGCCTCCAGCTCTACACTTAACCAAAACAGGGGCACGTTCATACTCTAAAATAACCCGTAGCTTACTGTTTGTACCGCACTGCACAAACTAGACAAGTATTCATTTGAAAACTGTTTCCTGAGCTATAAAAGCAGATGTCCAGCACTTCTGTCAAGATGATTAAGGAATTCCATTTACCGTGTCCTAATTTCTATTGAGTATTTTGTTGTTTTGAACTGTGTATGAACTGGTCTGTTTCTTATCTTTTGGTATGTAAGGATTACAGCTAACAGATAGCACACTCCTCTTTCCTATAATAATAAAAATGAATGCGTTCTGACACAAATATGTAGGTTTTGGAATGTGAGCTCCTACTAGTTAGAATACTAAGAATCAGTCATTCAAATGTAGCTGGCTAAAACATTTAATCACAAACAGAAGTCAACTATCCTTCATACAAAACTTTCTAAGGAATTATTAGCACTAATGTCAGGAGCCACATTTATAGACTGAACTAAAACTACATCTGAATTCTACATTCCAGTAGCCACTACAAAGCTCAAATCCTCGTTTGCTTACAGCCCACCTGTTAAATGTATTACCAGCTGAACATAAAACAAGGAGTCGGCCATTAAATGGGTGTCAGTGACTGGGAAAGCGATCAGCTCTTACATAAGCTACCCTCTCAGATCAGGACCTGAGTGTACTGTAATTAATTTCACAACTTGCAAATGACAGGAATTTTTATAGACAGCTCGTAAACACCAAGGATATATTAAAAATTCCACCTTTACCTGCCCTCCACATTTTTAGATTTCAGTTGTTCTTCCCCTTCATGTATCTGTTCTTCTAGAACCTTTATCTTGCCTTCTCTTTGCTCAGGAGTTTCCTGACCAAACAGTTTGCTCGTCATTCCCTTTAGAGAAAACGTTCTCAGAGTCTAAAATCAAACAGAAAAATGCTCTAAATGCTTTGTTCCAGTAGAATGAGAATTAATATTTGGCTGGTGGAGCTCGGACACTGAAAACTGTACTACTTCTAGGTGGGTGAAAGAGGCATGGTAGTTCAAATTAAAACCAACAGTTAAACAAACCTATATTAACTCCTATTTACTTAAAATTGTCTATCTGAAACTTCACATGAAGTCTCTGACCTCTTCAAAAACTGCCGTCAAATTATTTCCATTGTTGTATGCAGTGTTGTAGCCGGGTTGGTCCCAGGACATTAGAGAGAGACATGGTGAGTGAGGTAATATCTTTTATTGGACCAACTTCTGTTGGAGAGAGAGAGATGCTTTCAAGCTTACACAGAGCTCTTCTTCAGGTCTGGGAACGTACTCAAAGAAGAGCTCTGTGTAAGCTCAAAAGCTTGTCTCTCTCACCAACAGAAGTTGGTCCAGTAAAAAGTATTACCTCACCCACTTTCTCTCTTCAAATACTTTGATAGATTCTTATGGCCTGATCCACTGACCACTGGACTCAAGGGAATGACTCCCATTGACTTTAATGGGCTTCATTCTGGGCCCATATTGAATGAATTTGTTTTCAGTCACCAATTTCTAATCTTCAAGTAATATTTCTTCTCATATTATATGAAAAAAACAGTAAAATAATTCTACATTAAGATATTAATAACTTTAGCAGTAATTGTTTACTCTGTTTATTCACCTTTCAGATTAAATGCAAATATTTGTTTTTAGATATTATCTAACTTCAGCCATTTTCCCTGGGGGTGGGGGGAGAGGAGGTGGGGAAGACGGGGACGGACACCTAACATTTCATAATGAGGATGGTAAACTTTTAAAAGGTACAACAAAGATTTTTTTCCCCAGATGACCGTAACTAACCAGAAACTTTGGTCTTTGTAGTATTCTATTTCAACTCATTTGAAACACTTCAGATCACCTTACTTGCAAGCTTGTATTTGCCAGGTCTTAATAAAAAAAAAAAGCCCTGCACAAACTGTATAAATCACCATGAAAATAATTTACTGTAAACTACGAAAAGATCTACAGCTCACGTGATACTTGTCATCATAACCAGCTGTCCACATGTTATCTATCTGTTAAATGCCATTTGGATGTCACCCTAACTTGTTTAGCTCTCTTAAAAAAAAAATATCCAGGTCTTGAAGAAGAAAACGGAAAAACAGACTCACTCCTGTTGCCAGTTCTTCACACTGTTGTTTCTTAGATGCCAAGTCCTGAGCAGCCATTTCCAGGTCATACTGCATTAGTTCATGTTTCCTGCAAACGGCCCTGAAAACAATCAGTGAACGATTTGTCAGGTAATATTTTGTCTTGCTACGTTTTTACCACCTTCTAAGCTTTAAAAAAAAAAAAGTAAAAATGTTTTTTTTAGCATACGTCGTGTTCAGTTATTTATCTAGCCTATATTTAATAGCCCTATAACAGTAAACATAACTCTAGAGCAAGCCTGCTAAATTACAAAATTTCTGGTGTGTTAGTGATTTTATACTTCAGTGACCCGAAGCATATTCTCCTGCTGCTCCTTTTTCCATAATCTCATACTAAGATTTTGTATGCCATATAAAGCCATCCTCTATCTAAGGAAATCCTTGTAAAATGGTTTCATTCAACATGTTACAGTAAAAATTCCAATGGTAGGAAAGGGTTTACATGTCATTTTGGACATTGTGCCTGTGTGACCGGCAAAGATGCACATTAGTCTTAGGAAAATGTCTTTCACTGTAACTTAACCCAGAGACTCCAAATTCCTTAGAGCGTACGAAAAAAAATTTTGTTTGTAAAAAGGGATACGGTACCTAAATTTATACGGCGCCTTTCGTTCAGAAGGATCCCAACGTGCTTTGCAAACTTTACGAATGGATTTGCAAACACAAGTGTTGCCACTTAGTGAATGTGGCAACTGTAACAGTTCACAGCAAAAGCACACAGTACTTTAGGGCAGGAAGGAGGACTAGGGGATGTTAGGGAGGCAGAATGTATCGGTCACAACCAGAAGTTATTTGGGAAACTTCAAAACTAGGCATGGGAATTTTTTTTAACAGCCGTAAGTGGTCAGAGACTCTTTTGTGTCTCATAATGGAAGATGGCACCTCCAGCAGAAGATTGTCCTGCAGCAGCATGCTGGGGCATTGATTCAAAAGGAGGAGCACAGCTTAATCAACATACAACATTACTTCCTAGAGCACCTGGATTTTGTCTGGAGGTTCTGCCATTGAATTACTAACCAGCTCAGCTATACTTAACTCTGATTGGCTTACTGGGCAATAAAAGATGCAAGGTATTTGCAGACTTCAGAACGTAACTTGTAATGTTTTCTTCAAAAGTAAAAATTGTAAGGGATAGAGACAGAAATCTGCAGAGCACGTATCAAAATAAAGCAACAGAAGTACATGGGTTCTAATCTTTTATGTTAATATACTTACCGCAGAGCTTCTGCGTAGAAAAGATATTCTTTTAGCTGATCTGCATAATGCTCTTCCTCTTCCAATATGTCGTCAATAGAAGCTGCATACCTGGTAAAGTACAACCTTTGGTTAAACACAAGAACCCCTGATTTAGCTTCTTAAATTATATAAATACTGTAAAAGTGAAAGAACCCTATTTCTTAGCGATAATCATAAGTTACCTTAAAAGTGCTCTTTACTGTTGGATTTAAAAGGTATATTTTAATGCCGAAGAGACTAATATAAACACTCCTGAAGACCTGTTTCTTAAGTTATTACTACAATGAAGTGATAAATCTTACACTAGACAAACGTTTTCTGCTGAAGAGGAGGCTGTTTTTATTACAGGAAAAGGAAAAAAACAACTGGCTAAAGTAATTTATTCCTTTTCTTTAGTGATTTTCAACAGACAGCAGCAAAGTGAAAAATATTCATAACAAATTTCAGAAGGAGAATGGCATCTTTAAGGTTTGGTGAAGTGAACTTGATGCCTTCTAAAATGCTAGAGACGACATTTAAGAGGCGGTTTTCACTTGACCCTCAGTCAATGGTGATGGAAACAATGGCATTTGAGAGTCCTCAGCACTTTGCAGAATCAAGCCTTTTAGTTCCTTAAGTAGCAAGTTCAACAACCTGTCCTTCACAAATAAGAATGTCAATTCAGACTAGCAGCTATATACGCAAGTCTTTGAGGAGCATATTTTCCAAAGTACTCAGTGTTGACCTAACTGTGCCTACTGTAGTCACTGGGAGTTTTACCACTGCACCCATTTACTTAAATGGAGCACAGTTAGGCTGATGCTGAGATGTTTTGAAAAATCCCACCCCCTACTGTGCGTGGCAGAAAGTGACTTGTTAAATTTACAATCACTTAAAAAGGTAAGAAATGTTGTCCGACAGCTTTCAACCGGCTCCCATTGTTTGAAAAAGGTTCGCGTTTTCAAGCATGCTTAGGGACAAAAGTATCTCTGCAAAATGGTTACTGCACGTATCTTCTCGTGTACGTTTTGAGTTATATCTAGTTAGCCTACTAACAGAAATAAGCTTTTGCTATTGTTAGCAACACAGAGCCAATGCAGCTGGGATGAATGAGCTGTGTTATATTCCACCTCCCGTAGCATCAACAAAACCAACTAAGTTTGAATTCTAGAGTCTTTGTTGCAAAGCCTAAAGCAGAAAGTATAAAACCCCACCAAAATGACAACAAAATATGGAAGTAACAAAACTGTGCCAATCACCACCACATTCTTTGTTTTCATGTTATTCCTTGCATCCAACACTTCATCTGTGTCTTTCCCATTGTAAGATCTCGGGCAGTCTCCTCTCCTATCTTTGTGAAGCGACCAGCACAAAAGGGACCTCTGGGCACTTGTCACCGGGTAAGGCATCTTCATACACCAAGTACTATCCGTGCCTGGTTTTCTTCCTAAATCATGGGACTTTTGAGGAACAGGGAGCAGGTGATAAAGTCAGGCCTGCTGGCGTATGTAAATGACAGCCTGTTCTCAGCAGGGAGGCTCTCCAGTAATCCAGGATCTAGGGAAGGACTGGTGGTGGCTCCCAAGCTGAAAGGGAGCTGGGAGTGTGATTTGGAAGAGAGCTGGGAGTTCCTCTATTGAGATTCTTGTAGGAAACAACTGTGGCTGTTAGGTCCGTCCTGTCAAGGGACGGGGTAAGGAGCCTGAGGGGGGATATAGACAGAAGTTGGCAAGCAAATCGGGGGCCTGCTGGAAGATGATGTGGGCCCTTAGAGCTGAAAAGTGAAAGTCAGTCATGTTCGGGAGAACTATTTGTAGTTTCTAGTTGGGGGACTGTGGAATCCTGAGAAGACATGGATTGGACAGAGGGGTTCCTATACAAGAGCTGGAATATAGAATCAAAAAAATGTAGGGCTGGAAGAGGTCAGCTAGTCCAGCCCCGTGCCCTGAGGCAGTAAACCTAGACCATCCCTGACAGGTGTTTGTCCAACCTGTTCTTAAAAATTTCCAATGACGGGGATTCTACAACCTTCCTTGGAAGCCTACTCCAGAGCGTAACTATCCTTATTGTTAGAATTTTTTTCCTAATAGCTAACCTGAATCTCCCTTGCTCAGATCAAGCCCTTTACTACTTGTCCTACCTTCAGTGGACATGGGGAACAATTGATCATAGACCTCTTTATAACAGTTCTTAACATATTTGAAGATTGTTATCACATCCCTCCTCAGTCTTCTGGCCATGGTTAGTCATGAGAAAAGATTTGTAAGCTTTCTGCATAGGTTAGTTTTTTCCAAACCTTTTATTATTTTTGTTGGTCTCCTCTGAACTCTCTCCAGTTTGTCCACAACTGCCTCCTGTGTCTTACATGCAACACTGCTGCACTTACATGCAACATCCCAGAATGTTATTAGCCTTTTTTGCAATTGCATCATATGTTGGTTCACATTCAATTTGTGATCCACTGTAACCCCCAGATCTTTTTGTGCAGTACTACTGTCTAGCCAGTTAGTCCCCATTTTGTAGTTGTATATTTGATTTTTCCCCATCCTAACTGTAGTACTTTGCACTTGTTTTTATTGAATTTGATTGTCTTGATCTCTGACCAATACAATATATCATTTGTATATTAATAAACCAGAGCCTAGGAGTGAGATTTTGTTCTGGACTGTGACTGTTGTGTGCATGATGCTATAGAAGGGGAGAACTGAGGTACTGCACATCCAAGAAGGGCCCAGGCAAGGTGACCTTGTGACAGAAGTCTGATCATGTGTTAACAGCTTGCTTTTCAAAGGACGTAGGAAGGATACAGGGATAAATTAAATAAAAGTAAACCACCACCACACTGGGATCTGGAGCAGGAAACACGTCTCAGTGCAATCTTTAATTACTGTCTGGTGCTCAAGATACATGGCTTTTTTATGTGGCCATGTTTTTTTCTGAATTTAAAGCCCACCAATAACGTACAGCCAAGGAGGTGAGAGAAGGCTCTGGGTTTGAACCCCAAGCTTGTTGAGAAGGTGCTGTCTTTGAGCTTGAAGGGGTATGGCTGATCTCCGGCATAATCATCTATAAAAGGGCAATGGCATCTGCCCAGTTTTGTGAGAGAGGAGCATTACCAGGGTGTCGGTACCAAGACTTGAATTTAAGGCTCTGGGGGTTTTGTTCTTTTTAAAGTTCCTAAAACAAAAGAGTTGGGATTTTTTAGGGCTACAGATGGACTGTACTTCAGTTGCAGCCAAGTTTTTCAAGGGAGGATTTATGACTGAATGCTAGGAGTTGTTCTGCCCAACTCCCACCTAAACATACTCCAGAGCAGAATTTATACAAAAACTTAAATCATGATTTGACAAAGTAGTAGGTCAGCAGAAGCTGCACTTCTGACTATTTGAACCCAATTTTGCGCACTTTAGGCCAAAACAGGTTAAACAAATCATGGAAATCCCCAAAGAGAAAGGGAAATGCACAGCAGTGAACATGCTTCTACAAACAGGGAAATAAATATTTCGGAGCTAAAACTTTCCAACATACTAGATTCACCTCATAGTCAATGGGAGTTGTGCAGCTAACCTGCTCTTGTTATACTTTAAACAAACTAGTTTAGGTTGTCAGTTGATTATGGAGCAGCAATGCCAGAAAGGATGGAGTCAAGTTTCTAAATTTGGGGGGGGGGGGGGTATCATTCATTTTTATCAAGGGATTAAAAAAAAAAATGGATGACACCATGAAAATTCACACACATACAGACACTCCCCCCATACTACACTACTACACAACTATGTGGCTTCTTAAATAATAATGAGTTAAATAAAAGGGACAGAAACATTTGACTAACCATCAAAAATCCTAGTAAAAATGAAGCTGGTATAAGCAGGATAAGTGCAGAATAGCTTTAAATGTATTGTAGGAACAGGTTTAGATATTTAGAATGTATACTTCCTGCTCAGAAACCATACTCCTTGTGCAGCGCTCCATACTACTTCCCATAATATTAGCTTTGGAGGGGAGGGGGAGGAGTGGGGGAAGAAGAATTGTACTGCTCAATTATTTTTCTAGTTGATCCTGGAGGTGGGAGGGGAAAAAAAAAAAAAAAACTTCTGAGAGTCATACAATGAGTCCCTGAACAGGGATTTCCCTACACCCACCATGAACTCCCCCATTCTCTCTCGCCCTCCCCATCACCCCCATGGTCAACTAGTGACATGCAGTGTTGCCAATTTAGTCGCTTTCCAATCCCCCCTGTAAATTCTATTACCATGTCTAATTTCAATTCCGGGGAAGACTGTCTCTGAACCTCACAACTGCTGTCTCCAGTAAGAAATGAGCTAGAGAGGCCACTTCTGGGATCACCTGTTTGTTAGAGCAGAGAGAAAAACTATGCCATCGGAGATTGCCTTTGATGGTCATTCATTAAAGCATGGACTAATATAGGTTACCCTGGGAACTCTCCACCACCATCACTCTGGGTCTTCAACACTAACAATGTAAAGGGCAGAAGTCTTAGGGGTGTTAAGTCTTACAACCCCCTTGTGCCTCTCACTGCTGTTTTATGGTAAAGTGGAGCAGGTATAAACTGGAGGGGGTATAATCTCTTGAATGAGGTATTTGTTCTATTTGCTTTACTTTAATTTGATTAAAATATCTTCTCAACATTCTGACAGCACAGCATGGTGCATGTTGATGTATCACAAAAGAGAAGCTAGGCAGGTTCAAGTAAGTTTTCATTTATCTGCAGTACTTGTTCACGCAACTGAAAATAAATTGATTTCTACGGGACTGTTCAAATTTTGCAGTATTGTAATAAATATTTAACACTGCACTCCATTTCCTTATTCTTTCTATGCCCTTTTATTTGGAGTTATTTCTTGTAATGGGATTTCAGCTGTATAATAAAACTATTTTAACATTAACCATAAAACTGTTTTAAAACATGGAAATAAATGCTTCTATGTTTCATTCCTAAATACTCATATTATTTAAGGATGTGATAAAATTCTCACTTTTTAAACCAAGTTTTTATTTTGAGAATTCCCTGTTAAACGAGTTTCTCCATAAAATTCTATTTGGCAGCAGGAATCTGGAAATTTATATCCCTTACTAAAACTGGACAAGGGCATCAACTTACAATACAGATGTAAATTGGCATCATAAAATAGTACTACTGACAACCTTAACGTTTTCTCATGATTCACTTTTAAAATAAGATTATCTTTTCCAATTAAAACTATTTTATGTTTCATAGTTCCACTTGCAAAGCCACAGAACTCCTGAATGGGTTAAACAACTACTCTACCAGTGATTATGATTTTGTCAAGTGGAAGGAACCAGAGATACACTGAATAAAAATTTCTCGACTATGTTTATTATTATTACATAGAAAGCAAAACTAAAAGAATTCCCTGTTGCTGTAGTACAGATACTATAAGCAATCTGAAGTGCTAAACAGTTTATTTTTTTGTTTTGAGGGTTCTGTTCTCCTTGTTTCACGTACATAACCATCACTGAATCCAATGGAAGTTAAACATATGTGGTAGGGGGCAAACAGATACCCTTGCTGTGCTCAGTAGCGATTCCTGGTTACAACCACTATTTATTTCAGGATGGGACTTGAAATTATTTTGGAATCCACAAAATAAGTGTTGGGTGCTGAACCGTTTTAAAAAAAAAAAAAAGGGGGGGGGGGGGGCCTACTTAAACTTTTTGTTAAGTACAAATTAGTGTACCATCTACCGCATGGTGCAAAGCATTCCTGCCAAAAACAAATGGCTCTCATCAGGTCTGCAGTACATTACAGTTTAATTCCACTAGTTTCTGGCATAGCAGCTTAAAAGAAAAGCTGGAAGAATTCCAAACACCTCTATAGTTTCAAAATAATAATAAAAAGTAACCCCTCTGACTCCCCCGAGGCCCTTTGAGCTACTTAATACAGTACATGGACTCTAAAAACAGCCCACATCCAAAAGTCACTGAAATGTTGTGTACCCAATAGTAATATACCTCTCCTTCCAAAGTTTTCTCAGTACATTTCTTATAGAAATCCCTGCCCCCCTTAATATACGTGCATCTGGCATACATCAAATTATCAGATATTCACTCAGTACTTACACATCCATGTGATGGCCAGCACTCTGCAGCCCATCCCCCATCTCCTTTTCTATTGCACTCCATTCACTAGAGAAAAAAGCAAATCCAATGAGAAACAACATCACACACGAAGTTAAGGAAAGTTAATAAGCTGCATCCTGTATATAGTTTCTTTCCAGGTGACATCTGAATGGAAATTGCCTCAAAAGTTGTACCTAGCCAAACTGCTTTTCTACCTCTAAGCAGCAGCACTGAACACAATTTAATAGTGAGACAGTTTTAAAGCATTCTGGCCAGGAATTGTCCAGCTATACATACATACATACATACATACATACACACATACTTGTTGTTTTTTTAGTTCCAGTTCAAGAGGCAGGCATGAAAAGAATCTTGTTTAAATAGTTAAAGAGATTAAGAGAAATACTTTCTAACAGAATTGCAACATAAGGTTCATTCCTTTGTGTTGACACTTTTAGTGCTATTATCTGCAATACAAATGGTCTGTAAAGCTATACTACCAATTCTCAATATGGGAATGCTGATTTTTTTAAACTAATAAGAGAATAGCCATATCATATATATATATATATGATTAAATCTAGTCAGTTTATGGATAACGCAGCCACCAAAACTGGAGTGGAGATGGCAAGCACTTAGAAGTTCACCACAGGTAAATCACAGTTATGTGTTAATCTCATTATCTCTTAACTCTGCACGTTATTTGGTTTTATCAGTTATCCTAAAACTGCGTCCCCCCACCTCTTAAATATAGAATGTACTTTTAGTTATCCTCCTCTTTGTGTAATTTATGTCTAGTATTTATGGTTCTATACTTTAACAGACTAGATATTTTTTAATTGTATATAATGTTGACATTTGTTTATCCTTGCGTTATTACAAAAATGCACCCAATTTAATTTTAAACCCCCAGCCAGAAAGACATCTGCAATCCATTAACCTGGTGAATTAAATTTAGCACTTGTACAGATTGTATAAGCAGGAGGTTCCCCTTAACCAGAAGTTAGATTCTTTAATTCTCCAGCGAGATGGAAAACTTGGAGCATGCAACTCAGGCACATAAATCAAAAACTATTGGTTAATTCAACTTCTAAAAAGTGTACTAGAATATACCTGAGATATTGTTGATTTTTTAATGTATTAAAAGGATCGAGATACCTTTCAGCACTACAGACACAACGTAACAATTTATTAACTATATAAAATAAATTAATAGGAAGCATTCTGAGGAACAAACAGTTTAGAACTAACAGAAAAAGACAAAAATCATGAAGTTATATTAAAAAAAAACAACTAAAAACTTCATCCAGTTGAAACTAAAAAGTTCAGCAAAGGTAGAGAGATCTGTGTCAAATACAGCATCTTGTCAATGTCTTAGTACTGAGCAGTGACACTTTCCAATGCACATATTTAGTAAAACAAAATATATCAAAGTTTACATTTCAAAAAATAAGGATAAATAAGCTTCATCCATTACTTGCAAACTATCTAAGCTTCAGGAAACTAGATTATGTATTTTAAAAACCTGTTCTAATTCTTACCTGAACACTCTCCCATAATTCCCATGCACTTTGTATACACCATAGAGACGGTCTGCCACTCTCTAAAACAAACATTTGTAAGAGTTATTTTTTTGGACAAGCCCATTTCTTTTATATGCAGTTTACTAGCTTCTTGTAAAACATACATATCTTAAGCAAAGACTAACGTTTACAGACTAACCCTTGAGGTTTACAGCTGTGATATCTCAACAGCAGTATACAAGATGAAAATGTTATTTTATAAAGGCTAAAGCATAGCTCTGACTTGTCTTTTAAGATCAAAAGTATAACTTTTTTTTTTTAAATCAATGGCTACAAACTATACTGAAAATCACATTTAGACCATTCTATGTATGAGACGCTACAGAAATGCATCAGACTGTCTATACATCCAGTCAATCAGCCACTCTAGTAAGATCACCAACAACCGAGTTAATGTGAGGCACAATTCATTTCACCTGTATAACGCCTATGTAAGTGGACATCACACAGGGGGATGTGTATGTGTGTCAGGGGGTTGGGGTAAGAGGGTATGAAAACCGGAAGACAAAAATCTACGCTTCAGTTCTGAGTTGTGGTTAAGCCTCTTCCCATCTCTCACCCTGCATGGCCACTTCCCCCATGCAGTCCTAACAAAGGCCTTAAAAATGAACTGCAAAGGAAAGCTGGGTTGGTTCAGAAAAAAGAAACTTCAAAGCTTTTCCATACAGGATGAAGAATCTGAAAAGGCACAAGCTTATTTTTTTCTTTGAAATACAATACTACAAAGAATGGGAAAGAAAGAGTCAACTCATCACAACACTTGCTGCTAAAGCTAGAAATCAATTCATGCGTTCAGAGAATCAGAAACCTGCACATGCTACACTGTTGGTAATTATACAGTTATTGATTTCCCTCTCTACATTACACTGAACTCCGAAGTGCAACTTATTTTCGTCCTTCACAATTATTAAAGCACTGTTTGATACATCAGTGAGTTAAACAGAAGCTTTATAAAAGACATAATTATTCATGTGTCAAAGAGGTAAAAAGGAAATAAGTTAGAACACTGTCACACAGCTCATACACACATGTACTGGCAGGAAGGCAAGTTACTGGAATACAAGCAATTAATCCTCTAACATGCCTCCACTCGACAGGGCAATCAATAACAATCCTCCCCTACAGCACACTTTTGCCAAAAAGTAAACCCCTGTTGAACACACTAAGAACTAGTATCGTGCTCCCTGTTACCAGGGTTGTAATTTCCTATTTCCTTCTCTGTTTTGTATTTTTTTAAAGCTTGTGTTTTCAAGCCATAGGAGACAGCCATCCTGATTCCATGACATGTCTGTTCTAATCATTCTAAAGGACATTATTCATTATAGACTAGTCTGTAAGATGAAAAGTGTTGTGGGGAACTTGCGTAACTCGTGAATTCACACCACAAGCTCTAGAAAACACAATATTATATGTCTACGTTCCAGAAAACCTCATGCCGTTCTAACTCCTTTTTGACACGAGAGAAAGGCAGAATCCTGCTAACTGTACAGTGGGGATCCAACATTTTCTAGTTGATGTGGGCTTCTGGCCCCCTTGCTTCTTCCTCCAGTAGCAACACCTATGAAGGAGAAGAAGTAATGCTATTCTGCTCTTCTCCCTTTCCTCTGAATTGTAATTGAAGATGTGCATCTTACTCTCTGGTAACAGTCTACTTTGCACTATTTCTGTGAAATATGCAATGTTATGCTGCAGATTTTGATGGACCGTGCAACAAACTGGGGTCTAAAAACACTCCAAATCGCTACAGGTCTTGTCTAGTACTTTGGACATGCTACTGATGCACCAACTTTGAGTCCCAAGGTTCTATTGTCCCAGCTAAGCACCAACCATCCCTCCTCCCAATTCCTCAAGTGACTTTCATGGGGTTTTAAATTGCCAATATGATGAGAAGGTACTGCATGTAAAGTATTCTACAAGACAGAATAAAGCAATGAGCCAAACAACAGCATTATGAATGTTTGTGGAAGCATTTGTTTAACTAGAAATCTGTGGTGTAAGAATGGTCTTTTTCCAGTGACTATCAAAACATGAATAATTCAGACTGGGGAACAATATTGGAGATAAACATTTCACACTGCTTTACTCCAAGCACATTTAGAATTCCTTCCCCCCAAAGTGTATGGTTATAAAATAATTTCTCGCGCTCCCTTCCCCCTCCTCCCCAAAAAACAAACAAACTGGACAGTACAACAAACCAATTTCAAGTGAAGAATACATCCATCAGTTTTCTATTGATAAAGAAGAAATGCTGTCTTATAAATATATTCTACTATTTGTTAGGACACACATGGGAAATACTTACAGCTCTGACTCGCAGAAGGTGTGATATGACAGACTGCAGTTCATCGCTGTAGTGTTTTAGCTCAGTAAATCTCCTAGGAACAGGAAACAGATAGTACATCATTAGCTATCACAAAAGCAAGCTTTCACAAAATGTAAGATAGAGCCACAACACAAGAGCTGGCGACACTGAGCTTGACTTATGTTAAAGTGGAATTAGCTGTGGATTCCTAGCAAATGACAACAGAATCAAACTCCTTTTTAGTCAATAATTACACACATGCAAAACTACTGTACTTTTAAACAACAACAGTAAAGGTTCAGATCAATTTATATGCCATAAATCTAAGAAATAAATATAAACACCAGACATTTTTTCTGAAAGACTGCTGTATCTGGTTTTTTTAAGAGCACTTATGAAGTGGAATGTTATTTGATAGATGTGATCTAAAGAGCAGGAAGAAACTTTTCATTTAAAATCCCATTTGATGGGTTTTATGCTTACTAATGAAAAACTGTTAAATTCTTTTGAAGTTGATAAAATATTACCTGTACTTACAATGTGCCTTTTATGCAAGGATCTCAAAGAACTCTAAAAAACATTAAATTAGCCTCAGAATACACCTAGGTGGTGTGTAAAATGGATATAATGTCCATGGCTAAGCTGAACCCCAGAGCAGGTTGCTGACTTGCGAAAAGCCTCAAGAGGGGGTTATTTACTCCTGTGCAGATGATCAGTACAAGAGCTATACACCATTTAAGACCAACTTAAACCCTATTTTGAAGCCTTAGATCGTGCAGAGGCATGTGTTTTATCCAGAGTGAAAGTAAAGAATAGGAACTAGAAAACAGACTAACTACTGAATGATGATCTCTCAATTATTGTAGTGAAAAAAAATCCAGGCCAAGATTTTAAAAATAAACAAACAAACAGATGCCTAAAGTTAGGCTTCTAAATTCTTAGTCAGTCACCTATATATAAGTGGTCTGATTTCAGAAATGCTTAGAACCCAGCAGGTCGCACTAAAAAACAAAAACAAAAACAAAAACAGGCCACTTATTTAGGTGGCTAATTATGAATTTAAGAACCAAATTTCAGCACCCATTAAAAAAAAAAAAAATCTTTGCTTACACCACGTTTCTAATATTTAGGAAATTGCTTCTCATAACATCCCATGACAGAAAAGGCCATTTATAGGCATTCTATGATTTCTATGTCTAAAGAGAGTTTTCCACAAAAATGTGTGGCATATTAGGGTTAAAGTGTACAGTTTCTTTCAAAACATTTAAAGACCAGCAGAGAAATTATAGCGTGAAACACAAATATAGCTGTTGATCTACATGATGGGGTTTAGAAGGCAATCCTTTTAGCTTACGTTTTATAAAATATATGCCAGGGCAGTGTGTCGGACAGCTTCAGACATGAATGGTGAAGATATCTTAAGTAAATCAAGTCCATAAGAACGGCCATACTGGGTCAGACCAAAGGTCCATCTAGCCCAGTATCCTGTCTTCCGACAGCAGCCAATGCCAGGTGCCTCTGAGGGAATGAACAGAACAGGTAGTCATCCCAGCTTCTGGCAAACAGAAGCTAGGGACACCATCCCTGCCCATCCTGGGTAACAGCCATTGATGGACCTATCCTCCATGAATTTCTCTCGTTCTTTTTTGAACCCTGTTATAGTCTTGGCCTTCACAATATCCTCTGGCAAGGAGTTCCACAGGTTGACTGTGCGTTGTGTGAAGAAATACTTCTTTTTTGTTTGTTTTAAACCTGCTCCCTATTAATTTAATTTGGTGACCCCTAGTTCTTGTGTTATGAGAAGGAGTAAATAACACTTCCTTATTTACTTTCTCCACACCAGTCATGATTTTATAGACCTCAATCATACCCCTTAGTCGTCTCCTTTCCAAGCTGAAGAGTACCAGTCTTATTAATCTCTCCTCAGATGGAAGCCGATTCCATACCCCTAATCATTTTTGTTGCCCTTTTCTGAATCTTTTCCAATTCCAATATATCTTTTTTGAGATGGGACGACCACACCTGCACACAGTATTCAAGATGTGGGCGTACCATGGATTGATATAGAGGCAATATGATATTTTCTTATTATCTATCCCTTTCTTAATGATGTCCAACATTCTGTTTGCTTTTTTGACTGCCCCTGCACACTGAGTGGATGTTTTCAGAGAACTATCCACAATGACTCCAAGCTTTATTTCTTGAGTGGTATCAGCTAATTTAGACCCCATCATTTTATATGTATAGTTGGGATTATGTTTTCCAATGTGCATTACTCGGCATTTATCAACATTAAATTTCATCTGCCATTTTGTTGCCCAGTCACCCAGTTTTGAGAGATCCTTTTGTAGCTCTTCACAGTCTGCCTGGGACTTAACTATCTTGAGTAGTTTTGTATCATTTGCAAATTTTGCCACCTCACTGTTTACCCCTTTTTCCAGATCATTTATGAATATGTTGAATAGGACTAGGCCCCATACAGACCCCTCAGGGACACCACTATTTACCTCTCTCCATTCTGAAAACTGACCATTTATTCCTACCCTTGGTTTCCTATCTTTTAACCAGTTACCAATTCATGAGTTGACCTTCCCTCTTATCCCATGACAGCTTACTTTGCTTAAGAGCCTTTGGTGAGGGACCTTGTCAAAGGCTTTCTGAAAATCTAAATACACTATAGTTCTAGTACACTAAGTAGCAAGAGAGCTTTCAGACATCTCTTATTCCATGAAGAGTGATGACTGAAAATGGACAGCACAGGATTAGAGAGGATTCCCATACTGTCACTAAATCTGAGATACCATGTTCTTCTTGTTAAAATCTATATGATGCCAACTCCTCCTCTGCTAGAAGAAAATGTTATCTTAGGTGGTTCTAGGGTGCCTATTAATTTTGGTATCCAAGCTCCATGAACAACTAACAAAACTGGTGTTGTTCCTCACCATTCCTTGATGAACAGGGACGTGTGAACTTAAATTGCAGTTCTTCTCTGAAAAATAACTAAAAACAGCATTGCAGCATTACAAGTTTACTGATTTTCAATGATTTTTAGATCAAATCTGTTCAATTCACTACTAAAAATATGCTTCAAAATGCCATTACTCCAAGTTACCTGGAATCAGAAAGGTAAGCTAGTGATGCTTTCCTGCTCTTGCAACTCCAACAGTAAAAACTGTAGAGCCAGAACATGGCTGAACATGTTGATAATGCAAAAACTAGTTCAAAAGTTCAACACAGTTTCCTCAATGCCCAACCTGTCAGCTGTGTTGGATCTGCAATGCTATCAAGTGTAAAAACCTATTTTAGTGAGTTAGGGCTGGTCTACACAACGAAGTTAGGTTGGCTTAACTACATCCTCAGGGCACTGAAAAACTTCATGTCCTGTGAGATGTAACTAAGCCAACCTAAGCTCTGGTGTAGACACTGCTCAGTTAATGGAAGAATTCTTCTTGACCTACCTACCACCTCTCGGAGAGGTGGGTTTACTACAGCAGCGAAAGAACCCCTTCTGTCACTGTAGTAAGTGTCTACACTACAGCGGTGCAGCTGTACCACTACGGCCGTGCCACTGTAGCATTTCTAGTGAAGCCAAACCTTTAGATGAAAAGCAGGTAAGTTGAGTCAGATGCTGCTGCTTCTTACAGCCGCTTTTCAGACTAGAACCACATTTTAATAGATACTACCAATTTAAAAAGCACTTCTGGATGAAAATACTTCACCTACTATTATTACTAGTCATACTTAAGATTACTATAACTATACTATAACTACTGTAACTGAAAGACACCAGAGAATTTCTCCTTTCTATTTCCAATTATTTTGTGCATTTGACACCACTAGGTCTGTAGAGAAAGTTACTATAACTATGGTCAATTTCCCCTTCACAGAACAATAGGGGAGTAAAAGGTATTTTTAAGAATAGGTATAATAGGCAAATAGAAACCACAAATGGCATGGGGACTCAGGATCAAGTGTACTACTGAGAGTCACATAAGTTCAGCTGCCATAAGCAGAATCTATTGTCTAATATGGCTCAGCCACAGTGATATTACCCAGATCCTTTTCATTCTGTTTTAGGAAAGTAGCTAGTATGAAAATTGTTATCTAGTGGACTATATGAAAAAGGAACAATGCACCATTGGGAAAGCAATTTTTGATTGGATTTGAAGTACAGAAGGAAGACAGCAGGATGTTTGCAACAAAACTGGATTAGAGAATTCAGTGGAAATGTCACTACAAATTTATTTTTGAGCAACAGAAGAGCACATTTTTTTCACCACTGACCCCTTCAATAAAAACCATTCAGCCTACCAGAAGAGCTTTGGTTTTGTTCCAAACCAACTTCAGTAGTTAAGACTTTTGAAATGCTGTGTTGCTATCCAACTTTCTACGGTTGGTTTAAATTAAGGATTGAGAAAGCTACTGATACTTACTACCTCAGGGACTAAGCCTACTAGCCAAGTGAAAGATATTGGTGCTCCCACACTTCCAAAACCAACCCCCTAACTGCCAAGCCACCCTTTGCTATACAAATGAATAAAACAGACCGTGTAATGTAATTATAACATTTTAATCAGCTATTTAATAAATTTGTAAAAACATTACCTGCAATAAGAGCTAGTGGCACCATGGAATAGCAGGAAAAAAGTGTCCAATATATTAGTTGTTGAATTTCCCCAATATCTATTGAATAATATACACCTCTACCCCGATATAACGCTATCCTCGGGAACCAAAAAACCTTACCGCGTTATAGGTTATAGGTGAAACCGTGTTATATCGAACTTGCTTTGATCTGCCGGAGGGCGCAGCCCCCCCCGGAGACTGCTTTACCGCGCTATATCCGAATTCATGTTATATCGGGTCGCGTTATATCGGGGTAGAGGTGTATTTGTCAAATAGCATTTGGCCAGCCACTGAGCAGGCTGAATATCACAACAAGTATTTGGCAAATAAATTTGTTCAATATTGGTAACATCCCTAATATAACAAATATTATTCAACAAGCTCTATGCTACTCTTGCTTTTATTACACATTCTCTCCATTCCTGTCTGTATTCTACTTTTTCTTTCCAAAACCAGATCATAATGCATCTTTTCCTTAGCGGCATTTAGTATCAATTTCCTCATCTCACAGTCGTAGAAGGGACCATCAGATCATCTAATCTGACTTCCCGTATACCACAGACCACCAGTATCACCTACTTTGCTCTTTTGCTTTTCCTTCCCCTACACTGTGTGCTTTCCTCCACGTCCCCTTTCCAAATCTCTCTCTATAAATACTGCATTTCTCTTTTCTGTGTTACCTCAATCTCTCCTTCCCATATTAAGGAGGCTGGTAAAATTTCCAAGCCCTAAAAACAAGAAGACTAACACTACTAGTCACAGACTAATAAAAAAAAAGATTTGGGGGAGGGGAAGATAATATCCAAACAAGGGCCCAATTCCACTTTCAGATGCTGTATAAGGGGAAGGTGTCATCTCTTGACACAGCTTCAGAATTTCATCCTTCAGTTTCTGATAGATTTTAAGTAGCACCATATTGTTGGAAGGGAGAAGTAGCACTCTGTCTCTTGGTTCCCTCTGTCCCATGTCAGACTATCCTGGGTGCTGCAGGAATGTCTGCTATTTTACCCCGCTCCTACTCTCCTAGGTGCTACAGAGAGTCTCCTATATCAGTGGTTCCAAATGTTCTACTGGGGGGATGCACCAACTGCATTTTGGCCTTTTGTTGTTGTTACTCACCATTACATATATGCACCCTCCACCCTGGCACCACAACCCTAATCCCAGCCCACTGAGAAGGCTCTGGGGCGGGAAGGAGGGGGAGGGGGAGTTGGAGAGCTAGCCTACCTGTAGCGCAGCTACTGTCTCATGGGGCTGGGCCCAGCTCCCCACTCCAAGTGTTGCGACCTGGCACACACAGTCTCGGTGCCACTGAGGTTTGGGGCAACCCAAACCTGAGTGGCACTGAAACCATGTGCGCCAGGTCGCAACACCTAGAGTGGGGAGACAGGCCCAGCCCCATGGGAAAGGTGCCACTGCTCTAGGGTGAATGCAGAGCAGGCTACCTCTCCAAACTGCACTCCCCACCCATCTGTGGCTTCCTTTCCACACCAGGCTGGGAGAAGTGTATGTTTGCCTAGGCCAGGGCCCAGCAATGGGTTAATCCAGCCCTGGATACAGTGAACCGTCCATAGGTGCCAACTCTGTGGGCACCCGGAGCACCCATGGAAAAAAATGCGTGGGTGCTTAGCACCCACCAGCAGCCAGTCCCCCCTCCCCCCCCCAGCACCTCCTGCCTGCCACAATCAGCTGTTCCGCGACGTGTAAGAGGCGCTGCGAGGAAGGGGAGGAGCGGAGACGGGTGCGCTCAGGGGAGGGTGTGGAACTGGTTGGGAAGAGGCGAAGCGGGGGCAGAGCAGGGTCGGGGCCTTGAGGGAAGGGGTGGAGTGGGGGCAGGGCCTGGGGTTGAGCACCCCCACGGAAAGGAAGAAGCCAGCACCTGTGGAACCGTCTGACACTTTCCTGCAACCCAGTGTTTGGAAACCACTGTCCTATACTATCCTCCTCTGGCCGAAAGGAGGAGTGTCTACTATTATATACTCCCCATACTTCAGCCTCTGTTAATAGGCCTCCTATCCAGCTAATAACTCCAGTGCCTGCCTCGGCAGCTACCCACAGCTTCCCAAGACACGGAAGACTGAAACTGATCTGGGTTTCCAATAGCAGCTGTGAAAATTGGCAGCTTGGGAACTGCAGCACTGGCAAGTGCACATATTTGTGTGTGTGCACAAGAGAGATATTGGCTATGTATGCTTGCAGATTCAGGAAGGTACCACTGCATTAATTTGAAAAGGTTTCTTTGCAAACAAAGACTAGATTTTTTTTTTTGTTTTTTTAAATGAAAGCTTAGATTCTGCATAAGGTAATGGCATTTCCCTTAAGAGTTTCCTGCTCTCCCTGTGAACTGGGTTTTTCAAGCCTCTTTTCACTGTCCCTTATTGGGTTTGTTAATGAGGTTTAAAAAGTGTGCAGATAGCATACACTCGGAAATGAAAAATTACATAGATAGCACACACTATCATTCATAATTACAATTGTAACTAGTAAGAAAAATCTTACTTGTCTGGGTTTTTCACTCTGAATGTTGCATTAAGAGCTTTTAACCTGGAGTCTGCCTGGAAAAAAAAAGTTTGAAATATAATTGCATTATAACAACATCAAGCAACAATTTCTCTTTGCTGGCAGCCACAGTAGAAAGCTGCAGTTTTCTGTCATGGTACTTCATCAAAAATTTCAAACATATTGAACAAATCTGACAAGTGAAGGAGTTAATGTCAGGCTGCTTTTAGAGAAAAGGCTAGAAAACAAAACTGTTCTGTGAACTAGCATGTAAACAGTATCCAATATCATTAAACTAGTATAATCATAAACCCCAGCAAAATATTCTTTTCTTGAAATGTTACACAAACCACAAAATTAAGATATATAACCCTACATTCTTTTCAGGTGATGCAAGTAGGTCTAAGGCTATATGGACAAATTATTTTATATATTTTTCAAACCAAAGAAAACCAATAGTGGAAATGACCTTTATATGCTCTGAATTACCAAAAACAGTTCCCCAGTGGCATCAAACACAAATCTATTGTGTTCTCTCATTTTCAGAGTTACTGTAGAGGAAAGCATACATATATCTGTGAATGAGAATAGTGCCAGCTTTTGATGCAGTGTTCCTTTTCAATAGATAGGAAACTGCTATATTGAATCGCAAATTGGATCACTGGATTTTCTTCTGTAAAGAAACAGTTGCTTTAATTAAACTTTCTGCTCTGTTTCTGAGAAAAATGTTACTCTACCAGTGCCTGCAACTGAAGTATGGAATTCCCAACACTAATTCTTACTTTTGTGGTTTAAATTTTTTAAGAATTTAGTTAGAATTCATCAGTTTTTATGTTTACTCTGTAAAAGAGCAACATGTCTCCACTTATTTTATTTGTTTTACTGTAATTATTACTGTAATACCTACATGTCCTGGTCATTGGGGCCTGAATGTGCTAGACATGTACACACAACAAAAAGTCAGTCCCTGCCTCAGATAGTAAGGCCTTTAAGAACATGTCCAGATGGAGACACTCAAGAAAATTAAGACAAATTAACTAAAAGGTGCAAGGTGCTAAATTAGAGCACATGCAATCCCTGTGTGGATGCTCCCTTCAGAAGTTGCCCGAGTTCATTTTGGTTAATCCTTCTTCAAAATGAAAAGAAGTAAGTTTAAAAGAACCAAGACTTCTGGCGCAAAAGGCTCAGTAAGAGTGATAATTCACAACTGTACCTTCTGGCAGAGAGAGTTTTTAGCAATGATGTTTGCTATAGGAATAATATTTTGTGCATCAATTGCAGCAAAGTCAGCAACTCTTAACAGCAGTTTTAAAAAAGTTATTTAGCAACTGATTCCAGTAGAACCCAATGCTCGCTTGGAGTTAGAGTAGAAAGTTTCCCTTCATAAGCCTCTCAGTAAATTCCATTTATGAGATTGGCACCAGAACGAGACTGTTCCGCCTCCCATCACATTGTGTCCAAGCTGAACCGTGTTTGAATTTCACTGTAATATCCTTGACGCTGGAATCTCATCTCATGTTGGTAGAGTGCTGAGCACAACGTCTGAGCTCAATTAAAAAGTAATTTTGCTATTGCGATTGGCATGATAGCTACTGATGTGTATTATACAAAAGTGTGGTCAAGGAATAAAAAGGAGTTACTTTCCAGCAGTAACTCTGCTTCTCCAAACATTCTACAGACTGAGGGAGCAAATATCCCAACCCCCCTATAGTCATCTCTCAGAGTGCAAAGGAAGGGTTTTTTAAATTTTATTTAAGAATAGATTGGCTAGTTTTCAGCAAAGATAAGTGACAGGTGTCAAGACTCAGTTCTACTCAAAGGTGTCTGGTAACATCTTGGTCATGAGACCTGTTTCCTCTGAGCAGTCTGACTCATACTTGCTTACTTTATGGGCAAAAGTATTTACACTACTTTATATACAGCTGTTCACACTACAGAGTTAAAAGAGCTCTCTGGGAGAGCAAGACAGTCAATTCTACTCTGGGTTCTGAATGCATCATCAAAAGGTCCACTTACAGTACCAAATTCTGCCCTCAGTTACACATACGTAATCTTTCAAAGCCAATGAAGTTTCACAGGTGTAACTGAGGAAACAATCTGTCCTGCAGAATCTTTACTATTGATGATGCACAAGAAGGAAATAACACAGCTTGACTTCTTGTGCATTATCAATCTGGCCATTTTTTACACACTGATTTCAAACAAAAATCATACTACAAGCTAGCTAAGGGTTACTATCAAGCTAGAGCAAGTTTATGTAAGGCTTCTGGACAGACATTTTTGTAAATTGAGAGTATGTGCAAAAAGAATTTACAGAGGTGGTTAAATGGAGTGAATACTTGAAGTGGAATTGGCGGTCAATTGAGACTGAGTCAAGTAGCTTTCACACACAAAAGCAAAAACTGGATGACAATATGGAATATAGCAGTTAAAAAGAGGTACTGGCTTTGTGCTCAGGAGTAGCCAGTGCCGTTTTGTTAAGGTTTGTTTGTTTGGGAGGGGGAGGGGGGGAAATTGTACACCATGTTTTTCCTCCTCCAGATTAACTATGACTGGGGGTGGGAGGTGGGGAAGATAGTGCATTGTATTTTGCCCTCCCAGAGCAAAAAAGTTTGAAAGAACATTTAAACACGTATTCTAAATTGCAGTATTTTGGGGGCAGGGGGAAAGCATTACAGCTGGTAGAGACAGAATTCTAACTCAGAGTAGTCAGGGTAATCCAAAATAAATCCTCCTGGTTTAAACACAGGATCTTCATCTGTTCGACTAGTGTATTGCAGTGTCTGGACTGTGCCATCTAATTAGTCTGCAAACCCTCTGGCGTCGCGGAACAAAGGCAGAAAATGGGCCCATGGCTTGCTTCTGGTCCTACACAACTACGCACTCCAAGTATAAATCTGCCTCTGATATTATTATTAAGCTACCATAAGGAACCAAATCTATCAGCTTACTAAAACCCTTTTATTTTTACATTCAGGACAGAAACTGAATGTATAGTTAAAAGGTTTAGCAAAGGAAACAGAAAGGCTCCATTCCCCATTATTTTATTAAAATGTAACATTTTCCTTAGGGAAGCACGGATGCCACAGAGAAAATAACCATGCACACTGTCAGAAATCTAGAAAGCGGAATGGCGATTGTCTCATCTTACATTTTACCTAAGATACCATCTGTCAGACAGTTGTTTATTTTGAATATTTTAAAGTAATTTAACTGTTGTTCTTTGGGTTCCTTCTTCCCCTCTCAAGTAACCTACATTTTAATAAAGCTAAATGAACTGAACAGGCCATGTATCTGACAATTTGTTTAACAGAAACTATATTTTTCTCACTTGCTCTTACATGCCATAATTTTCTCCTTTCTCCCACTATTATTCTGGAGTATCTAAGTTGAGTTTAATAAAAACTTTTATTATGCCCTTCCCACCATTCTCAATGCAACTAACTCAAACTGCCCATGCTGCTGTTCTCAAACACAGCCTAAAACAGAAGCTTTCATTAATTGATGATTTTGCGGTACAACATACATGACATCATTTAAAAATATGAGTTAAGAGTGTCTACCATCTGAATGCTTTGCAAATTATGATGTGCTATCAGTAATTTTAAATGATGGTTCAGAAAATTGTCTTCCGCAGTTTTAAAGCTTCAAGGAGCAGAGCAGGATAGGATCAAGTTTTTCCAGAAAGATCTGTCAAGCAGATGTTACATCCACATATCAGCCCATAGATAATCAAGAGGTTAATAAAAACATGGTCATTCTTGCAATTCAAATGAATACACAGGAAAACCATTGCAAATGCTATTCCTATTTCTACATGTGCATCCTTAAAATTTTTATTTTTTACCTTTTTAATATTCCCCTGTAACCCCCTCTCTCACATTGTTTCCTCTCTACTATTATGTGCCAGATATATTTCTTCCTGAATTTGCAGCCTAACTCCTTGGATGATAACTTGGCCTCTCTTTTCTAAGGAATACTTATCTTCTTGTTCACCTATTTTTTTCCACTGAACATTGACAGTACCCTTAATCACTACATGGAAAATCCCACTCTCCATTATATGGTTGAGTTCCCTATATGCCTCAATGTACTGAATGAGTACAGATCTTGTTACAAACTTAAAAAAAAAAAAAAAAAAAAAAAAAACCCTAAAAAAAAAAAAAAAAAAAAAAAAAAAGAAGAGTCCACTCTTCAGACTCCAGTGCCATAAACTGTCCCCTAGAATGATGGTCCTAAATGCCTAGCAGTGTTAGAAGAGACCCCCAAGACAAAAGTCTACCACAAATCCACAGCATGTTTACTCATAATTCTGTGTCAAAGACCCTATATTCTGCAGCAGCTTCAGATAAATAAAAGCTCCATTTTCATTTAACAGAAAAAGTACGTAAAAGGAATATTGTCCTAGTGTACTATTTAATTCAATCTTCAATTCAATTTATTTTACCCTGGCTCTACATTTTTAATTTTCAGTCGGTTGCAGATTTTTTTTATTGAACATACATAGTGGCACTGAAGATGTGGTCTGTACGTGCTGTATGTGTTGGGAGGGAAGGAAGCTAAAGGTTGTGGTAGGTGGATAGGGGACAGGTGCAGATTTTCACACCAGGCAGGCAGTTTGAAATTATGGGATATGGACATCAGCAGAATGTGCCCAGTAATACAATCAGCAGTGAACTGAAGTCAAATTGCCATCATCAGTAGGTGCCAGCATTAAACCTCCTTGTGATTAATGGGGACAGATCACACCCCAGAATTATTTTTTTAGGCTTTCAGCAGATTCAGGACAACAGTACTTCATTCATTTATACTCACATTTGAAGGATTTTCTTTGCAACCAAGAGAATTAGAGACTATATATTTAAGATGAAGGCTTAGATTCATACACACTATATTTTGCACCCACAGAATCAGAGTACATATGGCTATGCCCAAAAGTTGCATCTGTCAACAAATTCCTATGTACCTATACTTTGCCTGTGTACTAATGTAACACTTGGTCACCTATTCCTGCCTGTCCTCCATCAGTTTTCCCTCTCCCACTACTGACTGCAATCAGTGTATAGGTGGCTCATGTTAGAAGTTTGTCCTAACTGGATGTTCAATTTTCTTCTCAATTGCCTCCTATAAGTCGTCAGAGGAGCATGTTCCCTTCAAGGATTTATTGCAGTGACTTCCTCAAAACTAATTAAAAATCAAATGGTCTAATTAAGCAAATAAAATTCTGCATAACATATCTAGTCTGAGACTCAGCAACAGTTGAACTAGGTAAGTATATCTTGGATTACCTCCATTGCTAGGGAGCACTGTCCTTTCTCCCATCTGACCCTTTTGGCTACTCGTCCTGTCAGAGACATCCTCCTGGGCCTTGGCCATCTCTGCTCTTCTGTTGTCTTGTTCAGGTTTCTCTGAGGTACCTAACTTATCATACCAAACCCCAAGATCTGTTTAAAAATTCATTCAGGACTGTATTCAGAGCTTTGGCTGAAGCATTTCAGTTCTTATTTGTACGTTCCACCTCATTACCCCAAATAAGCACCCTCTCCTTCAAGGCTGTCAACCTTTAGAGCTGGCCTTTACAGTCCTGCTTTGGCATGATATTTGTCTAGGTTGGTGTCACTCTGAAACCAGCTCAGTCTGCTTTTAAAAATACAGGGGTCATAATTCTTAATATTAATTCTACTCTGCATCAAATATGAAACATGGGCAGATTAACTGACCTGTCGCAGCTTCCCTCACTTATGAAATCTGGTAATTATCTGTTACATAATACCAGTACTACACTGTTTCCTTATATGGTCAAAATTATGCAGTTCGTCATGGGCCTGCTATTTTTAACACAACAGCAAGCATAACTCTGCAGAGACACTGAATTATGGTCTTTAATTGTGGTCAGAACAGTTCACAGGGTCACAACATTCACTACACAAATGCATATAATAATTACCTTTAACTGAAACCCGGTCTCGTTCACCATTTCTTTCCATCCACCTTCCTAGAAATAAAAGTTTCACTTCAGTAATCTTCACTGACAAACATACAGCAGGCACAGTCTATATGAGACATGATAATAGCACCACTTCTAGGCAGAAAGGACATTGGAGAATCTCCTTGGGTTATGTGGGAATCACAAGCATCCAAACATTGGCTCAGTCCCACTCCCTGGACCAAGTTCTAAAAAAGGTAGGTCAAGAAAATCTTCCTTTCAACGTCTGGACTTAGAATAATGGGTCATTCTGTACGACAGGTTTTATGTTTACCCACCATCCCCTTCACAACTTTTCCCCTTCACTACATGACACCAGCAGGCTGCATTATCCTGTGTTCTTAAGAGGATTCTTGTCTGACGAGCGATTCACACTTTATAAGAAGAGGGGTAGTGGCAGAGTCACTTCTTTAATGTTCCCAGCCACCACCAATTCCAGGACTGAGACTGAGTTGAGGCCTCAATCTGCCTCATTTCTAGCTCATTATACGACCGGCTAAGCCATCAGACCAACAAGACCAAATGAATGAACCACTTTTCAAAACAGCATACTTCAAAAATAGGGCACATTATTTTTTTTTTAAAAAGTGTCTTAACTTGAGTAAGAAACGGAAATAGTCAAGGTAGCAATGTTCACATTGCAAATTTAAAACTGTTCTTTTGTATTGTCTGGGAAATTCAGATGATAAACATTCAGCATGTTCACAGAATGCTCCTCCTAATAACCCACAGCGGAATACTCTAAAGGTTGTAAGCTGAACTGTAATAGAGAAACTTTCACAAATAAGAAAAAATATTAAGAAAGCAAAAGCAAATACCATACATGCCACTTTCCTGTACGTTTTAATTAGGTTTTTCTTCATTAGGCCAACCTTCCCGTGATGATCACTATTAGCAGTGACAAATGTGATCCTAGACTTACACTAGATATTCAGTTGCAGGGTGATGACAACAACAAAAAAGTTCAATCTTATTTGAGCAGAAGAAAGGAGACTAATTCTTATCAGACTGTACCTAGGATACCGGACACGGTCCTGGACACTGACTTACAACAAAGACAATTCTTGACACAATGGAGAAAATTCAGAGAAAAGCAAGAAAAAAGGATTAAAGAGCTGGAGGAATTAAGCATAAAAATGTAGAGCTGGAAAGGATCTCAGAAGAAGTCACCAATGTGACTGTACAAGCCGCCTGTAATGTATCAAGAAAGATTAAAAAGAACAAACGATGTAGCTTGCCTAAGTAAAAACTGAGTGAGAGATGCGAAAATGAAATAATTCAACCACGTAAACACCAAAATAGGCTTGAAGAATTATATTGTATGGTACAGGAGGGTATATATGTGTAACTATGAATCATGGAAAGTGTTCATTAATTTCATCCCAATGTGTAAAATGCAATATCACAACTTATTAGGCACACAAAGCAATTAAAATAATAATATTACCTCAATAAGAACACAAAAGTCTGAGTCAAAAAAGAAATTTCAGTCACAGCTTTACAATGTGACCAGAACATCAGTAAGTTGTAGTTCTGTTCTTCCCCCACAATGGACACTCTAGGACTGTCAGTGAGAGCATTCCAGTTGATCACAGCTGTCAGACTGGAGCATGAAATAGCCAAGAACTAAAGCACATAAGGTTTAATACAGGGGTTCTCAAACTGGGGGTCAGGACCCATCATGGGGTCGTGAGGTTATTACATGGGGGGTCACAAGCTGTCACCCTCCACCCCAAACCCCGCTTTGCCTTCAGCATTTATAATGGTGTTAAATATATTTAAAGGTGTTTTTAATTCATAAGGGAGGGGGTGTCTCACTCAGAGGCTTGCTATGTGAAAGTGGTCACCAGTACAAAAGTTTGAGAACCACTGGTTTAATAGATTAGTCATTTGCATCCAAACTGCCCACCCCCTCAAAAAACAACAAACTGGAAGTCAGTGCAGTAAATGCAGCAAAATGTATAATATGCTAAATATTTAAATTTAGTGTCAGGAAAGACTTCCTGACTGAGTTACATTAAGTTGTGAAATAGAGTTCTAAGGGAGGTGGTAATCTCATCCCCTAACAGTCTTAGAATGAGACTGGAAAAAGAATTATAAGGCACATTGTAAAGCACAACTGTGTACTGACAGGAGGTAGATTAGATAACCTAATAACACTTGCCCACCTTTAATTTGTTAATGCAGAAGTAGAGCAGGAAACAATTTAAAAGTCACTGAAGAAAAGTTATTAGTGTTTAATATTTAAAAGCTGAACAACTAAGTAAAAGTGGAGGGAAGTACTTAGAAATAAAGAATGCCTTTCTACAATACCTGTGTTAAAAAGGAATAAAAAATTTTGTCCTGACAAATGATGGGATGCGAAGCCACACGTATTAGAAAGTTTTCCAAACCAATCCTTCGTCTTTCCACAAAGTCTGGATCCATGTTATCCGCTGATAACTTATGCCAAACAAACTCAGCCTGTGTGAACAGAATAGAATTAAGAGCAGCTAAATTCAGTGCTAAATGTAAGGCAAAGTGAGTTGAAGTTTCAATTTTCTTACCCTTTTTTCTGGCAAAGGTGGAACAACAATATGCGGATAGTTAACTAACAAATAATTCCTCAGCAACTCAAATTCACTGTATCGCCTCCAAAGGGAGTCTGGTGGAGAGCACTGTCCTTCAGTCTGAGACTCAACAGCTCTGAAAAATAAAATATCCAAACTGAGTGTTACTGATATTTTTCTAAGACCATCAATACAATTGTTACAATTCAGACACCTAATATAAAAAAATAAAATAAAAATCATAGTACCCCACTTGTGATTACTTTAATAATTTAACATTCTTCAGTATTTAAGATTATTTTTTAAAAGGGACACCAAGTTATTTCACAAAGCTTCCTGAACTTTCTTTTAAACCTACTACTGGTATAAGTATCCCTCAAGATTTTTACATTTACCAGTAACTGGAAGATTTGAGATTCCCCCTTGCCCCGTTTTCCTGTTTGTTTATTTTGTGCATTTCGTTTCACTCTTCAGAGAGTCAGTTAGGGCCCAATCCACCAAACAGTTATGTATATGAGTAACTGTACTCATGCGAGCACAGTTATTACTCACAGCAGTAAGCATTGTGGGTTCAAACCTCTAAGGACCTCTAGCCCTCAAGTCCCACTGACTTCTGCAGAAGTCAAAGGCCCTCAGAACTTCACAGGAGTATTTAGCACCTTGCAGGATTGAGTCTTATGCTTGATATAAGTAATGTCTACACTACCCACATTACAACGCGGCCGCGTTGTGATGTGGGCAGTGTAGACACGCTTTATTGCTGAGGGAGAGCTCTCCCAGCGATAAAAAACCCCACCCCAAACGAGCGGTGGTAGCTTTATTGCCAGGTGCGTGGCTCCCGGTGATAAAGCGCTGTCTATACTGGCGCTTTTCAGCGCTAAAACTTTTGTCGCTCAAGGGGGTGTTTTTTCACACCCCTGAACGACAAAAGTTTTAGCGCTGAAAGTGGCAGTGTAGACACAGCCTAAGTGTTCACTGGCTCAACCCCATAGTTAAAATTAGTTTTCCCTATTTGTTTGGATCTTCACACAGCAACTGTGGAGAAAACACACATTTTAAAAACACCTATGTAAGTGCAATTCTAAAGCCACAAAGATGTTTAAAGAGGCCTCAGAAAGAAGTGTAGTACCTGAAAGATCTTTTAAGTTGACTAGACTTCAAGATGGTGTCCTTTTCATATTCAGAGGATTTAAGAGTTTACAGTCCAAAAAAAACCCAAACCCAAAATAAAACAAACTGGCTAAAGGAAGGGTAAGCAGGTACAACATACAAGTAAAGTAGTCAGCGCAACTGGTTAAATCCTGATAATACAACCCTTCTCCCCCACTCCCCACCTCGAAAATATTGTATTTTGTTATTTTCATTAGATACATAATCTACCCCAACTGCCCCTCAGCTTTGCTATTATTAGTCAGTTAATTTCTTGATGGCATCATGGTAAAAGTACATCTTCAGACGGGATTTAAATGTGGAAAAGGTAGTGGCTTTCTGAACCGGTTCTGAGGAGTGTTCCATGTGTGTAAAAAGCAGCATGGAAAGAAAGCGCAGAGATCGATGCAGGAGAAGCAAAGAGAGAGGAAAATCATGAGCGTTGTACAAGTAGTGTTGGTGACTCCCTGGCATTCTCTGTTTGAGTCAATATAGTAAGAGGACGTTGTGCCATTAAAAGCACTAGTTTTTTAGAAAACATAAACCTGAGATACTTACTACTAGTGATTATTCAAGATTCCATGTCTTTTTGCAAAAAAACAGTAAAGTATTTTTACTTTGGTGCATTTTGCTAATTTCAGTGTAATTATATTCTACATACAGATATAATTGGAAACAGTATTCCTCACTTCCTGTGATAAAATTTTGTACAGTGTTGTCATGCACTTTCACACAGCTGACTTGTTCAGTCCCAAAAGTGGCTGTATTTCAGTGCTGGGTTTAAAGAATTTCTGTATTGCTACAGATTCTGGGATCCTTTGGGATGAAAAACAATATATACATATATTAATAATAAAATAATTATGTACTAAATAACCTCCACCCCCTAACACACACAGGAAATTCTGCTACAATGGAACAGTACATGTTAGAATTTAACCAGAAAATATTACTGATATGTTGCTAACCTATAAACCACCATATAGTGCAGGGGTCAGCAACCTGTGGCCCACAGGCCACACACAGCCCATCAGGGTAATCCGCTGGTGGGCCGCGAGACAGTTTGTTTACATTGTGCTGCCCACAGCTCCCAGTGGCCGCGGTTTGCTGTTCCTAGCCAATCGGAGCTGCGGGAAGCAGTGTGGGCCGCAGGGACGTGCTGGCCACTGCTTCCCGCACCTCCCATTGGCCAGAAATGGCGAATCGTGGCTACTGGGAGCCGCGGGCGGCCGTGCCACCAGACGGTCAATGTAAACAAACGGTCTCGTGGCCCACCAGAGGATTACTTTGACAGGCCGCAGGTTGCCCACCACTGATATAGTGAAATATGCACATGCAGAGAGAAACTCAAAACAGGGTCCCCAATGTGCAGACCTACAGTAGACTTAAAAATATTACTGCTTTTTATTAAGTGACCAAATTTAATTTTTCTAAGCAGCAGTAAATGCATTCTGGGAACTGCTGGTATAAACTTACAGTGAGTACTATTAACTCTGCCATGGGGTTACCAGCTGTGAAGACTTAATGGTACTCGGCAGTACAGTGCACTGTTTCTTCCAGCAGATTTAAAGCTGTACAATGTCAAGTTTGAACCTGCTCCTATCCATTATTTCTAGCTGTGAAGAAAGGTTTTTTTTAAAGGCATCTAAAGAACTAAGACAACCATTATCTGATTTTTTAAAAACAAAATTCTAAGTTACAAGACTAAATTCCAATAATCTTACCAAAGCTATTTGGTACATTTTAAGACAATGAAGCTATATGATCAACATTTGAACCCTGAAAAACACAGCCCCATTATAAATATAAGAACCACAAAATCCTTGTTCTGTATGCTGTTTCAGCTCCTGTATTATACTAATGACTTAACATTGGATTAAGTAAATGAACTTTAAGCAACAAAGAGCTAACCCATTATCATCCGTTACTTTAAGTCAATGATTCTTTCCCCATATGGGCAGAGCATGTTTTTAAACAGGATGCTTAACGCATCCTTTTGATTAAGTAGCTTTACTCCAAATAATTGAAACCACACACACGATTTCCACAGGAAACAAACAAAAAAAAAACAAAAAACAAGAAGATTCTCATTCATAAACATTCCAACACACAAAACTGCTGCTGATTACAAACAAAACTGGACGAGCCCCACTTAAGCCAGAAAACACAATCAAATTGCTAACAGCTGCCAAGATTTATAAAACAGACCTAAATCAAACCACAGCTTTATCCAATAACATTGCCACAGCATCACAATCCATCTCCACTCTAAGATCATGTCTACACTAAAAACTTAAGCAGACCTAAATTAGGTTGACTTTCATCTACCGCAGTAATTATTACGGTGTCCACACTACCCTCTTTCGGTCGGTGGTGTGTCCTCACCAGGAGCACTTCCACTGACCTAAGGGGGCAGCGTGGGGAGCTTAGACTCCGGGGCTCTCAGCTTCACACTCCCTACCAGAAGCCCGGCTAGCCTCTGGGGCTCTGCCTCCCCCGCCCTCTCTCTCCCAGAGAGCAGAGCAGCTGCCTGGAATCTCGCCTCACCACCAGGAGCCGGGAGCCTTGGTGCAGCCGGGCTCCCAGAGGGGAGCTGGGATCCTGGGCAACAATCCAGCTGGGAGCAGGGAACCAGCACAGGGGGCAGCCCAGCTGGGAGCGGGGAGGACTTTCTTGTCAATTTCATGGCTCAGAAAAGACAGGGAACAGCCAATGTAAGTAACGCAGTGTCTACATGGACCCTGCATCACTGACATAATAACTCCACTTCCATGAGAAGCGTAGGGCTTATGTAAGTGCCCTACTACACCGACATCAGTGGGAGTAAGGCTGTAGTGTGTACACTGACATAGTTAGGTCGACATAAGCTACTTTACATCGACCTAACTGTGTAGTGTAGACCAGGGCTAAGAAGATGTGGCTGCCTACACAGTTGTACTCAAAGAACGTATGCATTAGCTCAGCCCCTTATAACGCAGGCGTGAAAGGCAGTGCAGAACTCAGAGTTCAGAGCAAACATTTCTCATTGCATGTAAGCTGCAAGGTATTTTTTCCTTAGGAGTGAGGAAAGAGGAATAGAACTTATTTCAAGACTATTTGAATTATAACTAGTATCAATGGTATTGCTGGTGACCAGCAGGTAAAAGAATTAGACCAGTACTACGGCAAAACAGAGAAACTGACTTACAACAAAAGAACTTTAGGGTTCATCCCTGAGCTTTTTATGGAGGAGTAACTCCCAGTGGAATTCAGCAAGTAACTCCCTGTTGATGACACTGGGTAGGGATTGGGTCGTCTGCATTTAAACAATTTTAAGTATTTCAATATTAAAAACCTTCAGTTTGCGTGTTTTTAAAGCTGAAGATGATTTAGTTTACAAACTGTGGCCTCGTCCAATGATATTGTTACAATGGCTGTAACTGTCACTTAAGCAAGACTGCCACCAACAGGATGCAACTTTATTCTAATTTGTGGTACAGAGGGAAAGAGAAAACTTTGCTGAAGAACGATATTGAAAAAGTGCCTGGAGCCAGCAGGCCACATTTCAATCTGTACAAAGTGGAGTAGATCAGCCACCACTCTGACTACATACAGATTCCTGCATTAAGTGCTCTCTTGATCTGATGGAACACTACCTCCCTGTTACAGAGGGTGTGCTATATTGTAAGAGTGTGGAACACATTTGGTCCACTCCTATTTTAATCCCTTTAAGATTTGGTTAAAAAAATTACTACTAATTAATGATCTAAAGCAGATCCTCTCAACCACTTATAAGCACAACAACATTTACTGGACATAGTGTGTAGCATTTAATGTGGCTTTGGATTGTTTTGTTTTCCTAGATCTTCCTTCTACAGTTTAAGTTTTTCCATGCAAGCAGACTTTTGAACTTCATTGAAGTACCGGGGTATTTTTAAATTATACTGCCTCTAATAACAGAAGACACATATGTTCAATCTTTTGGGAGTTAATTCATTGGGTCTCAGA